GTGGGGGGGGGGGGGTGATGTATGCGGCAAATCCTTAGCATGCAATGCATATAAGTGTGAGCATGTGTTTTAGAGGTTGCGTGCAAAAAGCTTCAGAGCTGTGCTCTACAGCCTTCACTGGTCTTTAAGGAACGTTTTTCCTGCTTCCCCTATTTTTACTAAAGAAGCAGATGTCTAATGAAAACCACCTTGACGTTAACTCGTTCCTAGAAGGACCAATAAATGGTTAACATTTCAAGCACTGACCCAGAGGTAAAACAAATTATCTATAACCTTCATATGACATTCTAGTTTTCCAACGTGTTGGTTGGTTTTTTTTCCACCTTGGCTCTCCAAACGCTTTCAAAATATTGATTACTAGGCTTAGACATTAATGGTGGCTGTGTTTTGTAACATTTTGTTCCAAGTTCCTTCAGTAGTGTTCTCATAAAGATGAATAATACTAGGTTGCAACTCTAGATGGCCATATTTATCTGACTAAAGGAAAGGATAGATTGGACAATTTGCTGTGCAGAGCATGCCAAAGTGACTGATTTGAAAAGCCCATCTCAAGTGCAAGTTTGATTAAATAAATACAATCCAAGACTTGTATTCCTATCAAGTTCCAAACTCTTTATTTTTTTATGTAAGACTTGCTAAAATTTCAATGTAATCATCATTTTTGATAAAGATTTTGTTTTTTGGAACAAGCAAACTGTAGTTTGTAAAAGTTTTACTGATGTTTTGTGTCCAAAATATCTGACTTAGTGGGTATTTTCTGCTTCCCTACCAGATTAAGAAAGCATATAGGCAGAGAGCTTTGACATGCCACCCAGACAAGAACCCAGACAACCCAAAAGCAGGTAAGTCACAGCAATGATTTCATTTGTCTCTGTCTTTTCACCTTGTCTGGATTTGGAGCCACAGACCTTCCATTGTTCTGAACAATGTGTTTTAATCGTTTGACTGTTCATCGTTTAAAAGAGCAGGCCTTCGATTGATTTTAATGCTGCCAGACGGCGGTGTCACATAGCTAAGCGGGGCTTGTTTCCTGCTGTTGGCTTTTCTGTCAGACATCCCCATCACCACCATCGCACCAGTGTTTCCACAGTCTGCCCACCTTGAGTTCTTGAGTTGCCCTGCAGTCTGTTGCCAGGCAGTATGTCAACAATTAGACCAGGAAATTTCTGTGTAGTTTTTTTTTGTCGTCAAGGGAGCAGGAAAGCACCTTGCACAAAAGACTGGTAATGAAGTAGGTTTTCAAGTGAGGTTAATGCGGTTGCTGGATGGCTCAAACAATTCCTTTATATGACAAGAAAAAAAAGGTTGGGGGTTGAGGCTAATACAAAAGCAGGGGGTTGGTTTCCCAGAAATAGAAAAGAAGTGGTTTGGAGGGCCTCAACACTTGAACCCACACATGGACAGAATTGGCGTAGAACGCACAAAAGCAGAACAAGTTCTGGGTCTTGCACCTTCCTAAATGAAGGTCTCGTGCACGTAAGGGGTGACTTAGGGGTTATGATTCATTACTGGTTGAAGATCCCACTTAATATCCTTCATTTTTCTTCAACCAACCATGTTGTGACACTCAGAGCTGCCTTTTGGGCATGACCGTGAGATTTTTTATTCTAACCCTTTTTGTCCGAGGAGGTAGTAACCTGACCACTTCTGCTGGCAGCTGGATCTCCAGAGCATTTCTGTTTGTGTGCACTGCCAGTCCCCACGGGGAGTAACTGTATCGGCCTGTTAGGCCTTCTATAAGTGAATGATTACGCTTGGCCAGGACGGTGCAGTGATGTACCATTTGTAGGATGAGCTCGGGGAAAGTGGTCTCCCAGTGTACATCCATCCATCCATTATCTTTACCCGCTTATTCCATTTTGGGTCACGGGGGTCGCTGGTGCCCATGTCCAGCAATCACTGTGCGAGGGGCGGGGTACACCCTGGACGGGTCGCAAGTCCATCACAGGACCACATAGAGACAAACGAGACAAACAACCATTCAGTCTCTCACTCACACCTAGGGACAATTTAGAGTTACCAATCAGCCTAACATGCATGTTTTTGGTCTGTGGGAGGAAACCGGAGCACCCGGAGAAAACCCATGCATGCACGGAGAGAACATGCAAACTCCACCCAGAAAGGCCCCTGGACCGGGGTTTGAACCAAGAACCTGCTCGCTGAGAGGCAGCAGCTCTACCAGTTGCACCACCGTGCTGCCCATCCCAGTGTACATATGTAAGCTGGTTTAGTGGTGAATGGAAGATGGATGGGGAAAGGTCAGAACAATCCACTGTTTGTCATAGGACGAAACAGGTTTTATGCGTCATATGGTAAATTTAACACATTAAATGTCAGCCTGTGTCAGCTGCGTCACTTTAAGGAGTGTGAACACTTAGTGTAATGTTTGAAGTGATATTTTTCTATATTTACTTTTTCTCTTCACTCTCTTTAAATGCGCCATATTATTTATCGTTTACGACCTTCAAAGGTTTCAGCCATTATTGCTTGGTGAATTATTTGCCAGAGGTTGACATAAGGAAAATGTCCAGGTTGTCCAGTGGACAACCTCTTGACAGAATCTTATTTTTTCAATTCAACCTTTATTTATACAGGTTAGTTCCCTTTGAGCCTCAATGGCTCATTTACAAGAAAAACCTGTTTAAGACAGACCAAAGTAGATAAGGAAAAAAACACGAGGGGAGGTAAAAAAGAAATTGTATCTTGCACTATGTCCTGGCCAGGGCACAGTGTGAAAGTTGCAAAAAAAAAAAAAGACCTTGCACATAAACAGCAACATACTAATGACATCATAGTACATTTATGCATGAGGAGGACAACAAAGGCAGTGAGTTGTCTGTGGACACTGCCAGAAAGTTCCATAGTCCTGATAAAGATGGCACAGTGTCTATCAGCCAGCTCAGCTCTGATACAGGTCCACAGATGTCTTTGGTGGGGGGGGGGGGGGGGGTAGAACAGAGCTTCTTGTTCACTTAACCTCCAGGAGAAATTTGAGATAGTTGGCCTATTCAAGGCCAAGCGGGGAAGACAGATTCAGATAACATTTGTTTTGGGACAGGCCGACTCTGCTTGATTTTTTTGGTCTGCCTTCATATTGTCTGTCAAAAATTTTGTTTGTCTGAAACTTTTATAATAATGAAGGCAAAACATCTCAAGAAAAATGTAATTTAATAAGCAATAATGTGGGTGGGTGGGGCTTTGGTTTGGTAGGCAGGGCACTCGGTTCTGCTGACAGGGCGGGTTGCCTTGCTTGTATAACGGTAGGGGAAACACTGCTCTGTTACACAGTTAGTGCGTAGAACTGTCTTTAAAAAAATTAGCTGATTTGAATTGACCAGATATAAATTTACGCAAAACGTTTTCAGAGTAAGCGAAAATGCGAATCCACCAAACGGAAAGTTAGTTCCACTATTAGTGGCTTTGAGAACTAGTGGAATTGCGCCCGCCACTGGTCATCAACTTCGGTAGGGTAGCAGCATGTTCTCCTTGGAAAAAAAGTCCATGAAACACTGATTGGTGCTCTCACCTGCAGTCCGTCTTGAGTTAGGAACACTGCTCTGCTCTGACTGGGTCAAACTGGCTCTGGTTCTCTTTATTGGTTGCAAACAGCATCAGTTTAATTCCTGTATCATCATCATATTGGATAGTTTAAAAAAGACTTTAACGAAACATGTCCCCCTCACTTTCATTTTTACAGACATTCCGTCATGGCGACAGAGAACTTTAATATGTCTATTTCACTTGGTTGTCCACCAGACAACCTCGAGGCGAAATCTGGTAATAGGTTATCTCGGATAAATGGAAACCTCTTATGCCAACACCTGTTTGCTATAATTTCTCTTTGTTTATCATGTAGTACTTGTACTCTGTGCATTCAGCTGTATTATATAGTCCCATGTTTTATTTATCTCTTGCAGTTGAGCTCTTCCACCAGTTGTCCCAGGCCCTTGAGGTGCTCACTGACGCTCCTGCAAGAGTAAGTTCAATAATGTTTTTAATCTTGTGATATTAATCCTATCATAACTTATATTCCCACAGACAATTCATCCTAGTGTTTAACGCTGATTTCAGGCTGCCTATGACAAGATTTGCGCTGCCAAGAAACAAGCAGAAGAACGGAACCGGAAACTAGATGATAAGAGAAAGAAAATTAAGCTTGGTGAGTCATTTTAAGAACTAATTTTAATTACTAAGGTGCTAGAAAAGCTGTTTGCATTAACAGTAGAAAATAAAAGCTCAACTGTTAATGAACAATATTGTTTTAAAGCAAACTAGCATTAAAAGCTAACACATTGTGTCAGTGAGCCAAAAAAGGTTGATTTTTAACATATGAAGATAATATTTTATGTTTGTTCTTGTGACAGATTTGGAGGCCAGAGAGAAACGAGCAGAAATTCAGAGCCAAGACGAGGTGCAAATCACAAGAACACTTGAACAAGAGGTGAGAATATGTCTATTGAAGCTTCTTGAGCGTCTCTGCTGCTCTACACTAAACAGCAGAGGAGTATATGACTGAAAACTACTTCTTCGCATGCATCCAGAACACTCTGAAGTACAAGCAGGTGCTTTATTCTGTCAAATACTTTTTCTTGTTGAAATCTCCCGGTCAGGATCAAAAGGCTCAACCTCAGGAATTTTTTTTTATTACCGCAGTGTTTTATTTTTAAACAAGCCAATTAGAGAATGTTGCATGACTTTGTTCAGAATGCAAGTAATAAATGAAAATAGTCTGTTCGCGTTTGTGAGGAAAATTGGCTTGTATTTAATGAGTTTATTGTGTTTGTCGTAGAAAAAACTGATTCGCAGACGAGCAGGTGTAGACTTCATTTGCTGGCAAATGAGAGAACAATTTCACAGAAAGTGAAAACACCAGTCTGCCAGTTCTGCTGGCATCAGTTCTGAGCTGTCTCTTCCTAAGTTACATCAGTTGTTTAAGTAGTCGCACAGATTGAGAGAAAGAACAGTTACTTGGAGGGCGACAAACGTATCAGCCAACCCACTTAGATTGTCACAGAACGACCACGATCACACTTGACATAATGTGAAGGTTCACAATAAAACAGAGGCAAATAGGAATTTTGATGTGTACAGGAAGAATAAAATTATACAATACATAAACACTGCAATGTACCAGGATCAGTAAATAATATACCGTATTTTCCGGCGTATAAGTCACAGTTATTTTGCTTAGATTTGTCAGTCCTGCAACTTATATGCCGAAGCAACTTGTATACGTTTTTTTTTTCCATATACATAAAGCAATTTTTGACTGATGCTTTAAATTTTGAAGAACTGCAACAGCGAGTCCTCCCGTGCACGTACGCTTCACTCAGCTGGTGCAGGCGAAGGAAAACTGGAGATTTAGCGGCTCTGGTCGCAATGGATAGATGGGTGGATGGCGCCGCACCACCCAGGTGAAATGAAGCTGTTTTCAACATTAAATAAATGCATAATAAACACATAATAAACGCAACAGGTCTGTGGTGACGCATAATAAATGCAATTTAGGGTGCATTCACACCAGCCCTGTTTAGTCCCCTTTAATCAAACTCTAGTCTGTTTGCCTTGAAAGTCCGGTTTGTTTGGGGAGATGTGAATGTGCAATCTAACTCTGATGCGGACCAAAAAAATCGAACTCTAGTCCATCTTAATACCTAGGTCTTGGTTCGGTTGAAGTGAACTCTGGTGCGGCTCGAATGCGGTGTGAAAGCAAGCGGACCTTTCCGCTCCAAAAGCAGGAAGTGGACTACAGCGCAGGTCAAACAAACGCGCATTTCTCTTACCTCATATGGAGCCATCAGCTTGCCTTGTGTGAAAAACAACATTCTCCACGGTCTTCTGCCTCATCTTCTGCTCATGCTGAGTCCATTGTTGAAAAAATGACAAAACAGAAATCCTAAAACCGTTAAAATTTGACGCCACTCCGTTTTTGTTTTTATTTCCAGAAGAAGAAGAAGAAGAAGAAGAAGTGTTTTCTTCAGAGGTTTTTGTGTAGTTTCCTTCAGTAGTTCTTGGTGCAGCGCCACCACAGGCGAGGGGGGGGGACATGTTGGCTCAACTGACTCAGTGCAGTGTGAACAAACCTCACCAGCTGAAAATGTTAACAAATGTTCTGAATATTGCTCCCCAACCTAATCGAGTCTACTGGACAATCAGGTGTGAAAACTTATATGCCGAAGTGACTTGTATATGTTTTTTCCTCTTCCCAATGCTTTTTTTGACTGATGCGACTTATACTCCAGAAAATATGGTACTCCCTTCACTATGTCAAATTATAAAGAATTGTGGTTTTGGCAGAGAGGGGAAGTGTCAGGTTTTTGTTTCAGATGTGAAATCGATCGTTGATTTATTGGAAAAGTGTTTTTCTTGAAGTTTTTTTTTTTGTCTGCAGAATGTGCATGGGGGATTTGTAAATATCACTTTATTGCATGTGTGTCTGTTTCTGAAAAGATTGCCCGTTTACGAGAGGAGGGATCCAGACAGCTTGAAGAAGAACAGAGGCTCATCAGAGAACAGATTCAAAAAGAGCGAGAAGGCCAGCATCAATCAGGAGAACACACCCACAGACGTATGTGTACCTCCAGAGTTTAAATATGATCAATCATGTAATTCTGTTTGATCCAAACTGTTTCTCTCCAGTCATTCAAATCGAGACACTAAAATCTTTTCACTGTCCTAAAATCTCCTTTAAGTGAACCTCCATATTTCCCAGTCATCCAAACCACAGCAGCCACCATTCACCTTGTGGTTCACCAGATATTATTCAGATAATGGACAATAACAATGACCGAACTTGAACGAGGAGAGGGCTATTTTAGTGTTTTTGGCAGTAACACAACGTGACAAAGTATCACAGGGATGCCAAGTGCAAAACATGCAAACATAACAGCTCGTTGGAGCTCTTTAATAATACTTTTTATTTTCAGTAAACGTAGAGTCTTGCAGCGATGCAAACCTGACCCCTTTTAATGGTTGAACAATTACTCGTTCACAGTCGTTCACTATTTGCACGCAATCAGGGCTCTGTCTGCAAGAGCTAAAACTATATATATATATATATATATATATATATATATATATATATATATATATATATATATATATATATATATGTAAAAAAACACGTGACAGCCATTTGAAGTTATTGCCTTTCTGCATGAGTCCCTCAACAACACCGTACCATATTTCAATTAAACAGTTGTTTCTTTGTCTTTTTTTTTTTTTCCTTCACTGTGTCACATTTCTCCAATGTGTTTTTTTGTTGTTGTGCAGACTCTGGGCGGGATAGATGTTCCAAGAACAATGTGACCCCCAAACTGAAGGTAAGATTTGCAGCTATGGGAATTTAGTCAGTGCTCAAGACTGAAGGCAGGTCAGGGTTAGGGCTGCAGTGTTTTGGCAAAGAAAAATGATATGTGTGTGTGTGTGTGTGTGGGGGGGGGGGGTCTCATATTTTAAGGAGGTCCAGCTCAGCTATAGCCATTTGTAATTTATTACTCAGGGACCACATATGCCGTCTTACCACTGAGCACGCATGTACTAACAGCAGAGTAGGCACAGCATCGTCAGGGGACCAGTATTTAAGCCAAAAACAGGCTTATTATATTTCCTCCTGCAAATACTTTGTTGTTTGTGTATTAACGGACACAAGGGATATTAGCTAATGTGTTTATACATTAAATCTGATTTTAAGAATTTAAAGCCTTCCCTGTTTATTTATTCAGCTAGAAAACACAAACCGCAGCCACAAGCATTGGATTATTGTTGCATAGGTTTATGTGTAGATTGTTTATTTCTTGCCTTCAGTTTAATTTAATCTAGCACTGTTGCATTTTGAACTTCCTCTAAAAGTCAGATGCATGTATACCGGAGTTGCATTCAGTGTACACCGTAGCGTTCCAAGTTTATTTATTTTTAATCAACTGATATTTTTGCTAACAGCAATCAACATGGTCTGCCTGTTAGCAAAGTATCTCTTGAACTACTTTCTATGAAACGTGACATGGGAAAACTCCACCCGTTTTACAGATATGGAGCTAAATTTGGTGTGGTGGTAGCTGAGAGTCCCCCTCAAAGCAAACTCTGACATATCAAATGTATTTCGAAGATCTTGCACGTACATTGCATCATTAGGAGGTCTAGACTACAGCTGCATCTCTTGTCAAGGTGAGATGATTTCAGTTTAAAACTCTAGGGCAGTGGTCCTCAAACTGGGGTCCCCGGGGGTTCGCCAAAACAATAAAATAAAACATTTTTCTTTACAAGCACATGCTTACCAACCTATTAAAAAACACCAAAATGCAGGAAAGCACATCTACTTTATTGAAACTTTATTCACCCACTATTTGTGTTCTGGTATTGATCTGTTTACAAATTAAGCCCTGCTACTTGGTATGACTACTGCTGTTCTGATTCTGTTCAGTTTTATGTAAAGTTCAAAGTTCAGTCAGATCATCTGGACGGGTTCTTTTTTTTTGTGACGTTTCCTCCTTCATCCAAAGGACTTCATCAGTCCGAGGAGCCACAAACGAACTGAGTCCCACAAGCAGCACACTCACATTGTGGACCAAACAGTTTTATGGTGATAAGATGGATTCTGAGGCCCGCCCTCTCCCCCATCGACTCCTCTGAGGCCAAAATGGTTCAAAACATCAGAACGTGTGTCCACTACGAGAGTGTGTTGCTTGTGGTCCTGAGCTTGTTGTGGCTCCTCAGACTGATGAAGTCCTTTTGGATGAAATGTCTCAACAACAAAAAAAAAGAAACCGTCCAGATGACCTGACTGAACTTTGATGGATTTTATGTAAAGAGTTTTCTATAATAATTTGAAGAAATGCCAATACATTTATGTTCATTATGTAATAGGTAAAGTTTTAAAGTAGTTTTTAATGCTGTTAATTTTCTCAAAACTGTCATTTTTGGGAGTTTAAATTATATTTTTTTTAATTGTGTGTCTTGAATAAAAATTAACCCATGTTTAAAAGTATAAAAATTATATTAACACTATTAAAGAACAGATCTTAAGTATTTATGTTACACAAATTTTTCCGTTGCATTAAAGAGACAAATTGGAGAAAATAATTTATTAAACATGAGGGTTATGAGGGGGTCTCAGAATCTTTTTTCTCCCCTGTAAGGGGTCCCTGAACCCCAAATGTTTGAGAACCCCTTAATTTTTGAATAACTTTGTCTTGAAATTATCAGCAAAAATGTATTTTTTATTCTCATAAATGACATTCAAACTTTGGTATTTCCAGTCTCGTGCCATCTGGGCTGTTTCTTTTAATATTCCTATTTGTAAGTTTGTTTAAGTTATGATTGAACGCAGCGGGGCTGTGTGCTGAAACTCTAGACATCACATCATGCGCATGCTAAACATGTTTTTTGAAGATTAATGAGTAGGACAATTATCGGTGGGTAGAAGAAACTGCTGTTGGAAGGCGAACGCACGTTCTGAACAGCGCTCTTTTCGTTAAAGAATGCTTGCAAATTCCCAGAAAATGTGTTTCTCTGACAATGAGCAGATCGCTGGAGCCGAATCAACACCCTGTGCTCGCCATTCGTTATACCGCTCTGAGTCGTTGCTGTAAAAATTGGCTCGTTTCTGCTGCGGTTTGTCTGTGGATGTGAGGAGTTACACAATATCAGGAGTATGGGAAATCACATGAGCATTTAATGACAGAACTAGGAGCAAAAAAAAAAAAAAGATTAATTCGTAGTAAAATCAGTTTTGTTTTAGAATACAGCACAAAGTCATGCAAAAACCTGATTGTTGTAATAAAACATGATTAAAAAAGGAACCCCTCTGTTTTTGCTCATAATGGAGAACATTAAGTATCAGTCTGCCTTGGATTATAAACAGATCTTTCTTTTTCAAGTGTTCTTTTTAAAATTTTTGACAAGTTATACGTAAGCGGGTGCGTTCCCTGATGCATGCGAGGAGGCTCACCTATTCGCTCAGCACCGAAGCACTGAATGGAAATTGACTGCAGGTCCTACAGGTGGTTACGCGGGGATGTTCCAAGAACGTAACAAGTTCTTTTCTCCTGCAGCTCCAGCCTGTCCTGGTTGTTTTCATTGCTCTGTTTTTCATCAGAACCAAGCCTGTTTGGCATGATGTGCCTCCTGTGCAGCTGAGTTTAATCAATTGTGCTTTAAGGATTAGACATTATCATGCACTCCTTTAATTCCTAAAAGTCCTCGTGACTAATACTGGCCTCTCCTTATTGTCTGCCTTCTCTTTCAGTTAAAATGGAAGTGTAAAAAAGACGATGAGTCGAACGGAGGTTACTCCCAAGAGATTCTTTTTGATCTATTTAATAAGGTAAGCATCCTGAAAATTAACGTTCATTTCACAGCAGTTTAGGACTTGGAATCTGCTCAACTGGATGTACCGTAAAGTAGCATTTTGTTCATTCTAAAGGGTTTCTGAATGTATTTATATTATTTTTGTATATTCAAAAGTTCTTTACAATAAACCTGCCTGCAGGGTTCATCCATATTTGAGGCCTGCATGACATCATCGCTGTAGATTGTTTACACTTTCCCCTTAAACAAGGCCCATTAAATTTTGTAGCAGTGAAGGTGCTCAAGGCAATCTTGTAGTGCCCTTTTAAAAGCCATGCCCAGCCTTGTTTGTTCCCCTCTTACTAGGTGATTAAGCAGTACCAAGGGAGATATCAGGAAATGTGCTCTTCTCATGCAACCCGGCACCACCTTCTTCGTGATCTGTCGTAAGGGCTTTTGGTGGGGCGCAGGTTGGCTTGAAACGAGGATGGGGCAAGTGTCGGTGACGTCAAGTTGGCCGGAAAAATGCACTTGAATTTCTCCTCTGCACGCATGCATTTAGGATGCTCCTGGGCTGGAGGGAGTAGGAACTGTGTTTTGTTCCTGAAGCGAAAAGGAAACATTTTAAAACTGTTTGAGATGGCAAGCACCAGTGAGTGACAGTTAATGGGTTGGACGAGTAGAAATAGCCTCTGCTCTCTGGGAAAATGTGTACATGTATGCGTACGTGAGTAGACTTGTGTTTTTTGGCTGCTTAAAATAATAAATCTTTGTTTCAGTGGGTAAAAATATGTTAAGATATTTATATTTTATGAAATAGAAGCCTTTTGAGAGTCTCTTTTGTCACTGTTGGCTGGATTCAGAGTGTCCTCAGTGTGCTTTAGCATTCCAGGACTTTCCAGTTCCCAGAAAGCTTGAATTTTCTTAAAGACCACATCTCTCCTACTCTTTATTTCTGAGGTAGACTTTAGCATGGAAGAGATCTCGGTTATAGTTATTACACATAAACTAACCATAAAGAAATCTAAAACTTTTGTTGCGCTGCTCTAAAACAGCCTTCACTGTACAAAGTGCACACATCCACTTTTATTTTGTGTGTACTTTGACTTGTCAAGAGATCAGACTTTTTGCAAGATGCTACTTGACTGTTCCTTGTAATATATCTAGCTCCAGTCCAAATATACAAACCCCAACATTATTTCTGGTTACTAAACTCTTATTAATTCCTAGCATGTATTCCAGGTTTGCTTTGATTCATTTAGGCTGCATGTGCTTTCTGTTTTCATGGTTATGGATTACACTCTGACAGGAAATACTCATTTCAAATGATCTGCATCTTTTTTTTTTTCTTTCACTGAACTCTTTTCTCCTTTGACTTCTAGTATGGGGATGTTTTGAACGTGATTGTATCAAGTAAGAAGAAAGGAAGTGCTGTGGTGGAGTTTACATCTGTCAGATCAGCTGTAAGTACCGTATTTTTCGCTGTATAAGTCACACTTTTTCGCACAAATGATCATGCCCTAGGACTTACACAGCAAAGCGACTAATGTATGTTTTTTTCTCATATTTATTTTTGTCTGCGATCTGACGATGTCATTCATTCTGACATGGAATATTGGAAATATTGAACACTACCATTTTCAGCCGCTAGAGGGCTCTCGACTAATATGGCAAGCCAAGTGTCTTATTAATAGGTAACTGTGGCTATTAATGAGACACTTGGCTTTCCGTAGAAACTACCTTCGTCTCACTCTGGAACTCCTGGAGCAAACGTCAAATCAGCTGCATTTCGCCACGCCGCCCAGGAGAAATGCAGCTGATTTGACCATTAAAGTGCATTTATTAAGGAAAAATCAAACTGAGACACACCTTTACTATAATGTCGAGCAAACAAACAATTGTTTTTAGGTGTTAATCTTGTTAAATTTCGACGAAATGCACAGCAAGTCCTCCCTCTGTGCGCTCCCGCAAATTGATTTTTGAAATGCACCTGATTGGACCGTTAAAGTGCATTTATTAAGGAAAAGTTCACCTGAGACGCACCTTTTGCTATAATTTCGAACAAACAAATAATTGTTTTTAAGTGTTAATCTTAAATTCTTGTTAAAGTCCTCCCGTGCACGCTCCCGCCATTTGGCAGCCAATCGATTTGTGGCACAACACCGGCCCACGTTTCCAGGTGGTCAGCGGTGACGCGTAACAAACGCAACACGTCAGCGGTGACGCATAATAGATGCGACTTATACAGTGAAGCCACATATTTATGTATTTTTCACTTTATTAGACTTATTTGGACTGACGCCACTTATACGGCGGTGCGACGTGCACGGCGGCAAGTACGGTATCAAATCTTTCCCACTTTGTGTCCTTATTGTGGCCTTTAAATAGGAAAGTCTCTAAAAGAGACATTTGTACAGAACTTTTTTTGCTTGCCTATTGTCTGAATGACCCAATCTTATCAAGAAAGACACTTGTCAGACAGCTGAGCCCAAGTTTTAACACAAATTAAATGCTTTATCCATTCCATACATGAAAATATCTGTGGTGATTTCAACTATTAAGCTGAAGAATTTCAGTCATTGTTCCTAATTGTCTGAATCCTCAGGCACTTTTTCTAGATTTGTTTTAAATCTCATTTCTATATTTTTTCTTCTTGTGGTTTTCTCTCACCATGGCACTACAAATACGCCAGTCTACTAGGATCTGTGTACTGATGATGTCTTTTCTAGTTTATTTCAAACAGAAGCGTTTCGATTCTAAAATCCCTTTTGTGTTCTCGTCACCATGCTAGAGGGCTTTTTGTGTTTCCACTTCGGATTTGGTTGGGAACTAAGTTTTTTTTGAGTATGGAACCATTTTTTTGGTCAAAGTGCTTTTTTTTTTATGTTCTTTGTGAATGTTAACTAAAGCAGTTCTCTGTTGGTTTAAAATGCACTTCTGTTCATCTCAATTTCAGCTGTGCAAAACAAATGGGGTATAAGACGAGTAACTTTAAGATTTTAGAAACATTTATGGCAAGAAGAAAGTTCAATGTTTTTCTAACACAGTGCCAGCTAAACCTTTTCATCACCAACAATTTTTCCCGTACAAATCGTTTTTATTCCGTTTGCTTTTAGGAGCTGGCAGTTATGAACGAAAGTGGCCTGAGTGATAAACCCTTGAAGATTTCGTGGCTTGAAGGACAGCCGGAGGTTGTTGCTACAGCATCTCAATCTGGCCACTTCATGTCTTCAAAGGTACTTATACACACTGAACACGCTTCGTTAGAATCCCCTCTTGTTCTTATAAACATACCAATTCCATGTTATAAAATCTTCCAGTTTGTAGCCCCTCCAACACAAATACTGCACCCCACAAGAAGAGGTATTTTTTGTATCAGTGGTAGAACCGTTGCCCCAATGCTTTCGGCCTTAAAGAGCGTGCTTGGTTAAGCGGACCTCAGTTTATTTGTTTTGGAGGGGTGAGGCGGTGGCCCCACACTGGCCCAGAGCCCCTGGTCGGCCGCTCATTAATGGAAATGACCTGGGAGACCCGAGGAATGCTCTTCTTATGTAGCAGCCAAGGAGAGGCAGTGCAGTAATGGTTGCCTGGCACGTGAGACTGATTAAATGTCAGTGCTGGTTCTGATGGTTTGCGTGTCTAGATTTTATTTTTTGTTGGATGAAATATTGTTTTAAGATGTTATTTTGTGCGCTTTCGTTATTTTAGCTTTTCTCCCTTTTTGAGGTTCATGTATCAAAGTGTTTTGAAATGTGTTTGAATATAAATATTGAGTTTGACACTTTTACTTAGTTATAAGTCAAAAGTTGCAGAAAACTATAATACTTTCAGACTGAGTGTTGTGCAGCCTAGAGAAAATGTTAAATCACAACCTTCCTATTGTTTCCTAATTTTTCCTTTTCCTTTTTATTAAACAAATGCACAAGGCTCACAACTTTAACCATTAATTCATTTACGTTAATCTGGTCTCCAGCTCTAATGTTAAAAATCTTGGTGTTATTTTTGATGAGGATGTCTTTTATCCCCCACATTAAAATCGTTACTAGAACCTCCTTCTTCCACCTGTGTAATATCACTAAAATTAGAAACATCTTATCTAAAAATGATGCAGAAAAACTGGTTCATGCATTTGTCACTTCTAGACTGGACTATTGCAATGGTTTAACTGGGTGTCCAAATACTTAAAAAAAGTCTTCAGTTGATCCAAAATGCTGCTGCCAGAGTCTTAACTGGAGTTAGTGGGAGAGATCATATATCTCCAGTTTTAGCTTCTCTCCATTGGCTCCCTGTCAAATCCAGAATTGAATTCAAAATCTTACTTTTAACCTACAAAGTCCTCAACAACCTAGCTCCATCTTATATTACAGATCTTATTGTCCCATATTTACCTAACAGTGCACTTTGTTCTCAGACTGCAGGCTTACTTGTGGTTCCTACAGTTTACAAAAGCAGAATGGGAGGAAGATCTTCCAGTTATCAGGCTCCTCTCTTGTGGAACCAACTTCCATTTTCTGTCCATGAGGCTGACACATTGTCCAGTTTTAAGACTGGGCTTAAGACTTTCCTTTTTGATCAATCCTATAGTTAGGGTTGGCTTGTTATGCTGCTATAGACTTAGACTACTGGAGGACAAATTGACCTAATTTCTTAAAATTAATTGTTACAATTGAATAGTTTTCATTTGAAATTATTTATGTCTTAACATGTGATTCCTGACATGCCACCCAGCCGGTCGAAGCAGATGGCCGCTTGTCCTGAGTGGTTCTGCTAAAGGTTTCTTCCTCATGTGGGAGTTTTTCCTTTCCACTGTCGCCTTCATGCTTGCTCAAGATGAGCGTCTGAGATGAAGTTAAACTCAAAACAGTCTGCTCTTCAGATAATTAATATTATTAATAGGGATGCACATTATCGGCATAGTATCGGTATCAGTCAATATTAGCAATCAAGTTACATATCGGCCATAAATTAACTCACTGATATAAAAGGCACTGTTTTATAATATAATTTAAATATATATATAAGAATGTTTCTGTTCAGTGCCCTGAGATGACTTCTGTTGTGACTTTGCGCTATATAAATAAACTGAATTGAATTGAATTGAATTTACTATCCAAGGATAGTACGATTTTAGTTTTTTGCAGCTGAACTGTGTTTCAACCCTGATCCTGGTGTGTGGCTGTCAGACCTCCTACTCTGGGTTAGAATCTGAGACTGAGCCTGCACACTGGGGCTTGTCATACTAATCTATTTTAATGTTATTACAGTAACTCAGTTTGCTGTACTGATATTCAGAGCTGATTGCTTCATCCTTTTTTAATTTTCCTTTCTCCCGCAACAAAAAGTGAAAACATTACTTTGGTTAGGTCATTTTTTTAAATTGGCTCAAAATGTAAATACTTGTCACAAAAGGAGTTCCACATGATACTGCAGATATTATAAGTGGATCCACAGCTAGCCTTTGATCTCTGGACATGGGGTGCATTTAAAGTTGTAATAAGAATCCAGAATTATGGAGGTCCTCCTCCTCCTCTGACTCAATCTGTGATCTAAAACTCTGAGCTCTCCCTGGTGTCCCAGCATCGGCCATCTGTAATCACAAAGGAGCAGAGTGGGTGAGGATTTGCTTCCCAATCCTCATCAATCCAAACACAGCACTCAGCAGGTCAGGTCCGACTAAAGGGAGCTTAAAGACACAGATGACTTCACTTTCAACTTTAGTTCTGTTGCAGCTTGGCTCAATAAAGACACCTAGAGCCAATGTGACATCCCGTAATATAACCCCCCCTCCAAAATTGCTTTAATTATGTTCAAGGTTCAGAAAGTGTTTTGTTCTTTTTGCAAAAAAGGCAAATAGGATAAAATATATCCATCGCTTTTGCATTAAACAAGTATTTATTAGCAAATATTTTCCTCCATAATCTTTAGAAAAAGCCTCTGAAAAAATGAAAAATGTTGTGGTTTAAACCCAGTTGAAGAAACTGAACCACAGTTACCCTCGTACAACATAACGCTCTGCAAAAATGCCTTGTATTTAAATACATTTGCATGTTTGTTTTTGGGAGGGGACGGTGTGGTCCAAGTGGCACATGCAACTGTGCTCTATTCCACATAAATTGGAATGGATGAAGGTGCAAAGAAACATGTATGTGCATGGTTTCTTAAATCTGAACATTTTTATGTGTACACCCACTTTCAGAATGGAAGTTGAGCATTCTTTCAAACACGAGGCCCCAGAAGTTCAATAATAGCATAAATTACCTGCATTAAGAACAAATCAGTTCAATTTTAACAGCATGTAAAACAACAGATCACAATTTTGTCATAAACTTGCAATATTAGTCTTTCTTTTTCTAAATGACACCAAATCTACACAATAGAATTGGCAAAATATCAATAAATACATATAAAACCCCTACAAAATGATCATCCAGGCCTACTAAAGTGTATAAACAAAAACACAAATTATGTTCTACAGATGGGACAAGGGCACCGGTGACCCCCGGGACCCAAAAATGGAAGAAGCGGGTAAAAGATAATGGACGGATGGATGGATGGATATTATACAGATGCAGTATGTACAAATTCTTCAAGAACCCAAACGTAGATACAAAATTGAAGCTTTATTCATAAATCCAGCTAACTCCAAAATACACAGACAGGCGTAGGTACTGTATTTATCTAGTACATATTTATTCACAAAATGTTAGTGTTCTTACCAAAAATGTTTTTTTTTTGTTGCATTCACTGTATTTTTGTTTTCTAATGTAACATTACATATAGAGTCATACTTTAAGATAAAACAGTGTGTAATGTGAACATCGGAGTGCCTGACCTTATTTCACTGACAGATCGAGATCTCCACCCCTAGGTGGCATTAAAACTTGTTCAACCCCACAAAAATGAAATGACACTACCTGATATTTTATTGCATTCAAATAGGCTGCAAGTGGACGACATGCTGTCAGTAGATTGCACATCCTTTTCCTGTTTTTGTTGCTACGTTTTACTGAAACTGATGACATGCAGATAATAACGATTCTCCATTATCCTGGTTCTGCATGCAATTTTAACATACGTTTTTTTAAGAGCTAATAAGTTTGGGTTTTTATATTAAAATAACTGGCATGGACTAAATAATCCTGAACTTTACCCCTGACTCATTACAGAGTTCCATTTTTTATTATATGCTAATGTTTTAAAAGTGGGTGGCACAGTGGATCAGTTGGTAGAGCTGTTACTTCCCCCCAAAAAACAACTTGTCCAGATGACATGATTTAATCCTTTTTTTTTTTTTGTGATAATGGATGTATGTTTTAAAAGTCTGTGGATGAGTAAGTGACTGTAGATATTGCTAAAATAGTTTATTTTCTTTTTACAATCTCGACACTTGAAAGTAAACTTTTTTGAAAGCTGGGAATTCTTCTTATCCATACCATTGACATAAAATACATTTTGAGCTATTAGCCACTATTTTTTTGTCTAACCTTATGTAATTTGGCACCAAATATTAGTGGCCTAAAATATAGATTTTCCATATAGTTCATGGAATGTGTTTTTCCATTCATTTCCTAACAGCAAATTAAATTCTACACTCATCTGTTTTATAATTCTAATAAAATGTAACGTTATGTAAGTTTGTGAGCGTTTACCAAACTCACATTATAAATCCAAAGTTTAAAGTCCATCCATCCGTTATCTTTATCTGCTTCCTTTTCGGTGGCGGGGGTCACCGATGCCTGTATCCAACAATCACGGTGCGAGGGGCGGGGGACTCCCTGGACAGGTCTCCAGTCCATCACAGGGACACATCGAGACAAACGAGACAAACAACCATTCACTCTCTCACTCACACCTAGGGGTGATTTAGAGTTACCAATCAGCCTAACATGCATGTTTTTGGTCTGTGGAAGGAAACTGGAGTACCTGGAGAAAACCCGCGCATGTACAGCAAAGTTTACAAAAATCAAGTAAATTTTATAAAGTAATTCAATTTATCTAAATCAATCATGAACAAGCAAGAAATATATCATGAGTCATATCGTAGCAGTTTTAAGTTGACATTCATATACTGGGTAAGTACCCATGTTTTAAAACTTATACTGTTTTATATAACACATTTAGAAACATTGTTAAAGTTAGTGTACAACTGTACCTCATACTGCATTTATTATAATATGTGTGGACTATTTGGAATTATTTTTAGGTGCTTTTGCAACAATGTTGATGACTTTTTGCTTTTTATTTAAGAGTGGATTTTAAGATTCTTTAAATAGATTCAATAAGTACTGTAAAGTTTATTTAATGATTGGATACTAAAGACATCTCATGTATATTTTTACTTGTATGTACCTGATTAACTATACTACACAAAACTGAAATCTTTTTTTTGGGAAAGTCTATATATTTTTTGTCCAGGTTGTGCTTGCGCTCATCACCAAAAGGAAACTGAGACTGAAATGAGACAGCTCTTCAGATTAGCATAGAAAAAATCTACAAAATGTCTACAAGTTATTTGTTTTGAATTTCGAAGTCAAATCAAACATTTCCAGCCAAATACATTTACTGTGAGTGAAGTCTTTTTCTGAGAGCCGTACATGCGTGCATCTTCAGAAAGAGGATTTCACACATGTGGCCGACTGTGAATTCCACAGACTGACTAATAACCGTTTGTCTGCAACTAAAACTCTCACGGATGTAAACTCACTGTCTGTCTGCTCTACCCCTGCTCCCATGATGTCGGTGCCTTCGGAGAAATGAGCTCATCATTAATCATTTGGTTCAAGGCTTTTTGCGTAATTTTACATACCATATTGTTTAAGGTGAATGTACCGCAAGGAATTTAAATGTGCGCTTTCGTACGACTGACTGTTCCAGTGAGAGCCGGAGTCACGGTTGTCACGACACAACCAGATGCATCAGGTCCTCTGTTCTTGGATTGGTTTTTTCACAGCAGAGAAAACCGCTCTCACTAGAAATAAACCTCGATTGGGCATGCTGGTGCATATGCAGTCCCATTCTGATTGTATGCAATGGGAGATGATTAACTGCCTTCTGTAATTTGCAATAACCAGGCTCAAAAGAATTACTTTGTAGTTGTAAACTTTTCTCACTTTAGTAAAATATTGTTTTTGAATAAATACAGTTAAGCCTGACTAGCCAGTAAGATTTAAAGATGCTGCAGCTGTGAGTTGTTGTTAAATTTTACATCTTTAACAACATTTCAACGCAGCCAAGTTTTTTAAAGTTTATTTTTTATGTTTTGCACATTGTAGAAATCCTAAATAATTACCGGTAGACTGTATGAGTTATGGAGTCACGAGCGATTTTCCCACTCCACCATACAAACGTATAGTTTTTAACTATCTTTAACACCAGAAACACACAACTATTGGTAATCGGATCCAATACTTGTTGATCTGCTTTATTTGAACCTTTTAGGTGTCATACTAAAAGCTTAAACAATCAGGGTAACAAATGTTACCTATATGGGATAGATCTGGTTGGCAGGCCATAGACTGAGGAAGTCCTCTGGATGGGAGACGAAACTTGTCTCACTTAAAGAAACTGATCCAGATGACGCAATTTAACCTTTTTTTTTGTTATCTACCTGGATGATTGAGTTTACAACCCTTTAAAACTATTTAGCATTTTTGGTGCAGTTCAATCGTACTAAGAGACATAGTTACATGTAAATTATTTGTCTCATGTTCTTTAGAACCATAATTTAAGTTTTTTTTTTTTTTTAGATCAGAGCTCAAGTGGGTTGAGTTTTTTTTTTTGTAGAAGGCAGCAGGTTCAGATTTTACACAGTAAGGTGCTGTTGCCATATATATATATATATATATATATATATATATATATACC